CCTGGAGGACATGCACCTGGCCCGCAGTCAGGGGGCATCACAACACTGATCTCCTCTGACTACAAGCCAGTCGCCAGACCCCCGGGTTCAAGGGAAGAGGGCAGAGGCCCGACGGCTCAGTGGGGGGAGTGCTGCGGTCCCCTCGTCGTTCCTGGGAGATGATGGGGACACCTCTGAAAAAAGCGGGCCGGCACGGGGCCTTCACGCACCGTTCTCTCCACCCGGACCAGCCTCCGCCCGGCCTCACCACCTGCTGACCCTTGCTCATCGCTCAGGTTTCCAAGGCCACTCAGGCGGGGAGCGGCCAGGTCTCCCCGGCGCCCCTCCAGAGGCCCTTTCCGCAGCTCCGAGAGGGAAGCCAGCCCCCACCCGGGGTGGGGGGGCAGCTAGAGAGGGAAGCCATCGGCTAGCGGCCGCCCCACCTGTCCACCTGGGACCCGGGGGCAGCCTGGTGAGGGACCCCCAGGGCCGACGGACTCCCAGCCGTCCGCGTGCCGCTGCCTGCACAGCTGGGGGCGATCTGGCCCTCACCTGAGTCAGCGGGCAGCCCTGCGCCTTGCCTGGCAGGGCGCACCAGCGCTGCCAGGGCTGCGGGGGAGTGGGCGGGCCGGGAGCGGCGGGCCAGGCTGCCGGGCCAAGGAAGGAGGGGGCTCCCGGAGGCCGCCAAAGCCGGCTGGGGCGGGAGGGGCCGGGCCAGCTGGGGCCGGAGCGAGTGTGACATCACCGGGCGGCCCGCCTCTGTCTGGGGCTGAGGGGAGGCCCGGAGCCTTTCTGGGGCCTGGGGGATCCTCTTGCACTGGTGGGTGGAGAAAAGTGCCTGCAGCCAACCAGGGTCAGGCTGCACTCACAGTCTCGCGGCGGCGGCATGTAAAGGCTCCACAAAGGAGTGGGGAGTTCAAATGAGGCTGCTGCGGACGGCCTGAGGATGGACCCCGAGCCCTGAGTCCCAGACCCGCAGAGCATGGCCCTGAGGTAGCTGCCGGCCCCGCCGCCAGAGAAGGCAGGTCGCGAGCAGCCCGGCAGGACCCTGGCCAGCCTCCGCCCCGTCCCAGCCGGAGTCCTGCTGCGGAGGCAGGGCCAGCACAGAGGCCAGTGAGGCCCGGCGGCCTGCGACTCGGGGACCCCTCCCGGAGGCCATGGGCAGGCTGCCCTGCTGACGGCGGGCCGAGGTGAGCATGTGAGGAGCCGCCCGGGAGCCAGCAGGAGGGAAGAGGTAAGGGGCCGGCTCTGTGGCACCCAGGGACAGGCGGCAAGAGGCGGCAAGAGGCAGCAGCTGGCCCCGACCCCTCTGGCTGGGGGTGTGTGCAGCCTGCTCTCACGGGGAGCCAAACAGGGCGTCCCCCCAGGCAGGCCTGGGGACGCAGGCCGGGGTGCTGCTGTGTGGGTGTGAGACCCTGGGCCGGGGGTTGGGGGGCTTCGCCAGTCAGTCCCAGACTCCTCTTTCACACAAAGAGCCTTTGGGGGTGAAGGCAGAAGGCTGGTGGGCACGGCTCAGCAGCTGGGTGCAAGCTGGTGGGGGGCAGTGGACTCCGCCACAGGGGACGCCCCAGGCCCGGGGCGGCTGCCCTAAGCTCTGGGCCCCTGTGCACCCTGGGGAGTGACCGAGCGGAGGCAAAGGCTACAGCAGACGTGGTCCTGGCGGAGCCGAGCCCTGCTCAGAGCTCCCCGGAGCGCAGGAGCCTCAGCTGGGGGGTGGGCAGAGCGGCGAGGAGGGGGCCGGGGCCGGGACCCCGCCGCGTGACTCGGGGCGCAGCGCTGCCGGGCCTCCCACGGCTCCTGGGCCCGGCGCCCCAGGTCCCCAGCGGGCTGGGTCAGGCTGGGGAACAGGAGGACGCGGCTTCCCGGCCGGCCGGGGACGGTGCGGGCTCCCCACGCCCCGTCCCTTGAAAGCGCCCGGCACTAGATAACATTTCCAAGCAGAAATTCTTCCCTGATCCCTCCCTTCTCCTTCTGTGATATGTGTGTCACGGGTCAGCTATCGCCTGGGCTGTGGGCTCCCAGAGGCCAGTTCGGTTGCTCAGGAAAGGATCTCCTTTCACCGGCGCTGAGGACGGGCTGGGCGCCGCGTCCGAGGCTGGCCAGCGCTCCACGTGCACCCCCCAGACTGAGGCAGGGAGCGGGGTGCCGGCGAGTTAGGTTCAAACCCCGCCGCCCTCTGAGCCAAGCGTCCGGCGGGAGCCTCTGTTTCCCAGCCTGCGAAAGGGCCGCTAACGGCACTGGCGCTGGGCAAGTGCTGACCCGCTCTCGGACCTGGCCGGCTCCTGTCACGCGGCACTGGTACTCGCCACCACCCCGCAGGCGAGGAAACCGGGGCAGAGGCCGAGGGACGCGCCCCGGGCCGGCGGCGCGGCGCCGCTCCCCAAGAGCCCGGGCGGCCCCGGGGAAACCGCGGCCGTGAGCATCGTGCCGGCAGAGACGCGGCACAAGGACAGGTGCCAGCTGTCCGCCCTGGCACGACCTGAGCGGGCCGTGGGGAGCCCCACCAGTGCAGCCAACGCCGCGGCCGCCAGTGCCCCACGCTGGGGGTCCTCCCAGGAGCCGAGGGGACCGGATGTCCGGGCTGACCTGCAGCATGTCCCGGTCCTGGAGGTCCACACGAGTGAGCAGACACAGGGACCGGGGTGCCTCCGCCCAGCCTCGCAGTAGGGGCGCCCCGCGCCCCAAGGGCCAGCCAGAGTGTGTGTGGGGGGGAGCGACCCACTCCAGCACCTGCACCTCCACAGAGCCGCGCTCCAGCCCCCTCCCCTGCCTCCCCCCAGCCCCAGGACGCCGGCCACATCTGGGACACTGGGTCTCAGCCCAGGACAGGGGCTTCTTCCCCCGAGGCCTGAACCCCTGGGGTCTCCGCAGTCCTCGCCTCTGCAAAGCTGTGGTTGTACGTTAGCTTCTACAGCTCAAGGCTCCTGGGCCGTGGGGGCCGCAGGTTTGCTGGGTTCCCCGGGCATTCCCGAGGCGCTGACCAGCTTCACAGGCCTGGCTTACAGAAATGGCGGCCAGAGAGGGGACCTGGGCAGAGCCGCAGAGAGGCCTCCCCACCCCCTCCTGCACGCCGCCGGCTCCCGGGGCACCCACCATGCTCCCCTCGCCCCAGCCCCAGCCCAAGCGGCCAGGCTCTAGTTTGAGCGCCGCATTCTAGGTGAGGAAACCAAGCTCCAGAGAGGCCAAGGAACTTGCCCGAGTCCACACGGTGGTGACGGCGTGGGGTATGAGCCCCGTCGGTCCGGTTCTGAAGTGCATGTCTTTCTCCAGCTCGCTCAGCCACCCTTCCCTTTCCCCGACCCTGTCCCTGGACCCCTCCCACAGCCCCAGCCCCTCACCTGTTCGCCCCACCCCATCCAAAAGCCGGGTGCTGGCCTGGCCTGGGCATTCTCTGCTGCCCACGCCCCTCTGGCAGGACAGTGCCGCTGACCCCGCGACCAGCAGCCTGGCCGAGATGGCTGTGTGCGGCGGTGACTCGCTCACTGGGAGCGGCCCCACTAAGACCCGCACCCCGCACTCGGGGCTGTGTCCCCCGCTGGATTCTGGGCCCAGGGGAGCACTGGTCCACGAGCCCACAGTGCCACCCACATGCCTCCCCCAGGCCTCCCGGGACAGGCCTCAGGGTGCAGAGGCGCTCAGGGCCCGCGGCCCACACCGGCAACCTGAGGGTCTCGGGGCGGCGCTGGTAGTGAGGACGTTAGAACAGGCGGAAGAGCAGCAGTAGGCCCGGGGCAGGTGCATCCAGCCCTGGAGTCTGGAATCACAGCCCTTGGCCGGGCTCTGGCTCCTGCGCCCACAGCCGGTAGCGGGGGGTGGGGGGGGGCGGCCCCAGGACCAGTGGTCCACAGGCACACAGGCGTGGAGCGCTAAGAGGGTGCTGAGGCGGGAGGTGTTGGCTCCACTTTAAGAGGAGGAAACGGAGGCTCGGGGGTGCAGCGCCTCTCTCGAGGTCTCGCCACAAGCAAGGTGTCAGATCCGGGCCTGGGGTCACCCTAGCCCAGCCCCCTGGAAATCTCAAGGCTGGACCAAAACATCGCATAGTGTCTCTTTCTGTGATTTACATAGAAGGCCCCACACAGAAGGGCCATTCAGTCACTGGCAGCTTGGGGTTTGTGGGAACAGAGAGGTTACACCGGATCCCCATTCTGAGGTCACATCTTTAACAAAACCGTATTCCCTCACATCACACGTAAGCCCGAGACGTTACAACGTCCCGTGACGTGCACTCATCGGTTGAAAGGCACGTCCTGGCCACAGAAATGCTGACGGGCTGGGCGTGTGGGGGGGCAGGCCCTTTACAACCTAGCTGTGGTGTTAGGGTTATCCTCTGGTCAACCAGCAGTTCCAGGGCAGCCTCCGCCCCACCCCTGTGCCGAGGGGGCCTCATCCTGCAGAAGGACAGGCCGAGGCCACCTCGGCAGAGCCCGGCGGAGCCCTGAGGGATGCCTGAGGACCGCCCAGCTCTGGGAATGCCCGAAGTCCAGCCTGCGGGTCCCACTCCACGCTCCACCAGGGAAAGGCTGTATTTCCCGGTCACTGCTGCGCCTCAGCACCCGCACAGGGCCAGGCGGAGAAGGGTCTGGGGGAGGGTGAGTGAATGAAGTCTCAGCCCAGCGAGCCAGGACTTCCCAGGCCGCGCTCTGGTCAGGGCCTCTTCCCCTCCCGCCGTGTGAGCCCTGGACACCCGGAGGCACCCAGGCACCCACCAGGCCGCTCGCTGCCTCCCCTGAGGGCAGGGTCCTGGCTTGTTCCCGCTCTCTCGGGCCCCCAGCTCGGGGCCTTGCCCAGGAAAGACATTAGACGACGAACGAAATTCTGGAATCTCTGCTTAGTAGCCCAGAAGCCCTCCTGGGTGCTGGGTCCTCCCGGGGTCACCGGACCCTGGCTCAGCAGGTGAGCAGAGAGCCGGGGCAGGCACACACTGCTGGGCGGCTTCCAGAGCAGCAGCCCGGGGGCACGGGGAAGGGAAGCGGGGCATCAGGGCACGGGCCAGGCTGCTGGGCGGCGCGGCACGCACCGAGATGGGGCACGCCACGCCGGCGCTGCTTCCCAGCAGGACACTGAGGCACCCAGATGCGAGTTTTGGGAAGAGGCTGGAGCTCGGGCATGGACGGCGGGAGAGAGCAGCGAGGGCAGGGCAGGGCAGAGTGGTGGGAACCGGGCTCCGGAGGACACAGCCTGGCTCCAAGCTCGGCCTCACCACCGGGGACTCGGTGGCCTGGGCGGGCGACGCCATCCTCCCTCAGATTCCTGACCTGGGCTGTGGGGCCAGAAGATCCCCCACCGCACGCCGGCTGGATCAGCGCGCAGGCACCAAACGTTCCTGTCCCGCGCTCAAGGTCTGAGCCGGCCAGCAGGCCAAAGTGGCCCTGGTGCCCACCACCAGCCAGAAGAGCCTCCCTGGGGCGGCCTGTCCACCCAGTCCCGGACCTCTGTCTGTCCTCTGGGGCTCCCCTGCCCCAGGGTCCCCAAGCACACCAGGCGCTGCCGGAAATGCAGCAGCCAGCTCAGAAGCCGGCTCTGGAATGGCTGCTCGGCTCCGCGGGCTGAGGCTCCTGGCTCAGGGGGCTCAGTGCACGGGCTTTGGGGGAGCCTCAAAATGGTTGCCAGATAACGCACCATGAAAAAGAACAGCAGCATCTTGCTCCCCTGGGAAAGGCAGTCAGCTCCCCACCGTCTCACCACATCCCCTCTTGTCCTATGAGCTCACAGCCACAGCCGCCACCCCCAGGAACTCAGCCTTTCCCTGGAGCCACAACTCAACAGGAACACGGGGAGCCAGCCCCACCCTCCCAGCACATCTGCTTGCTCCTAGCCCACCGGCTTCTCTGGCTCCCGACGGCCCTCCCAGGCCTGACCCCCTCGAGGGCCGGCTGACAGGGACGGCTTTAGCAGTGGACGGCTGGGGGGTGAGGCCGAGGGCTCACTTAGGAGCCTCCGTCTTGGAGAGATGAGCTGGCAGGATCTGAAAACCGCTCCAGGCACCCTGGATGCCTACAGGGTCCTTGCTGGGGGATGATTCACAGCATCCTAGCCCGGGAGAGGATGGCAGTTGGAGATGGTTCTGCCCTCCCTGGCCTCCAGGCTGGGAGTGAGTCATCACGACGACGACCGTAAGCCAGTAGCTTCTGCAGGTTTTCTAAGGCATGGAAGCCACAGCTCATGCTTGGGGCTCTCCCCACTTGGATGATCAAGAAACTTGAACAGGCAACAGAACTGCCCCTTGCGCTGACCTGAGAGCCATTTCAACTTCCTCAGCTAGTAACTAAGATGTCATCTGCATCCTGGTACTAAACAGATAGGAGCCTTTGATTCACTCTGGTCAGAGAGACAATCTTGGTGAAAGGGAGGGCCTGGACCTTGCAGTTAGCCGAATTCCCATCCTGGCTTTGACTCCTAGGGAAACCCTAGGCTTTCAGGCCCCGGTTTCCTCTGCTGCAAAAGGCCTGTGTGTGGTATGATGGGTAAGGAGACCGTAGAAGGTGCTGTCTGATCAGATCAGAACATTTTGAGAGCAAGAGGAGCTGGTTTCTGCTACAGTAGAACTGGGGTGTAGGCCTGAGGGACAGGGCAAGAGAGGACTCACCAGAGACAGAGCGGGGAGCAGAACAGGGCGACTGACTGAAATACACTGCTGAGGGGAGCAGCAGGGAGACAGGAGAGGTCTGCTGCGCCCTGTGGGTCAGCTCCCAGGCCGGGGATGGAACTCAGGCCGCAGCGGTGCCAAGACAGACTTCACCCCTACGCCACCAGGGAGGCCCAGGGATTGTCATCAATATTGCGTAGGACAGCGGCCTCAGCTGGGGCCCTCAACACAAGGTCATGAGCACCTACGAGTACAGCTGGGCACAGAGCAAGTTCACAAACAGCTGTTGTTATCTACACTATGGTCAGTGGTCAGCTGGGCCTTCTGGGCCTTTTCTTTGGAATTTTCCTTTGTCTGTATCCCTCCCATATCCTGGATTACCCATGTTTTGGGTCCCACCCCACCGGCGTGCCAAACATCTCACTCAGCTTTGGTAGGAAAAGCTGTCCGTTCCGACGCTTGGGCTCGTCTCGTTTCTGTCCTGGTGTTTGTTTAACAACCCGATTTGTGCTCAGGTCCCTCCGGATCGCTCAGGCACAGATGGAGTCCCCAGCTTCCCAGAGCCCGGCCTTCAGGGGCGACCAGGCACCCCTGGGGCCAGGCGCCAGCCCAGACTCCCCCCTGCCTGCAGCGGCTCTGGCCCGGACTCCCCCAGCTTTCACCTGGGATGTGGGGCGGGGGCTGGTGGGGGCCGCGAGCTCTCCCGGCGCAGGGCGCAGCTGCTCTGGTGATGAGACGCCATCCCGAGAGCTGCATTTATTTGAGAGGTTTAGTGGGGGGAAGGCAGCACTGGAGGCCCCCCGAGCGCTCCTGTCCTCCTCTGCCCAGAAAAGGGGGTGTCTAGATGCCACTGACCCTGCAGCATCTTCCTAGACATTCAGCACCGCACAGTGTGGGGTCTGTCACCCCACAGAGGCCGGGCTTAAATTTCAAGTTTCCTTGCCTCCGCTGGGTATCGCGTGCCACTGTGCGCAGGGCACAGGGCGTTTGTAGGGATTATTTTTAGTATTTGAGTTTCCCATCCTAACCGACGGGGTGAGAACTCACACGAGTACCCCAAGCCAGCAGCTCCCGCCGCAGGGCGGGACAAGCTCCGTTTTAGGAAAATGAGGCTTTGCACACAGCGGCCCCTCGCCGGGCTGAGCGGGACGTGGGCACGGCGTGAGCCCACCCCAGGGACACAGGGGCCCCGGAGCCGGGAGGGCCCAAGCCCTGGGAGGCCACCTCCCAGCGGACAGCGGCCTCACGTGGCCCTGTCACGCCATCCCGTGCTGGGGAGGGAAGCCCGTCCATGATGGAAACTCCTCAGAACAATGTGGAAAAGCAATTTCAAGAATCGTTTTTATTTTCATTTCAAAGCCAAGGAAAATAGTTGGATTTGCTTTTCTTTGTTGGTCAAAGGAAGAAACTGAGGAGCATCGCTTTGATTGGAGCTGAGCTCTTTTCCAGGCCTAAGATGGCTGGAATGCTGGGGGGGCGGGGGTCCTCTTGGGATACAATTAGTTGAATAAATATCAAGCGAGCAAAAGCAAACAAACTCATTACTGCCCATTAAGAACTGCCAGTGAGGAGAGGGGCTGGAACTTTCAGAACAAGAACTGACTCGGAGGCGGAGGCAGTGCGCAGGCAGGGGCCGGTGGCAGGCCGGCCGGCCCAGCTGGTCAGCTCCTCTCACCGGCCAGTGCCCCAGAGAGCCCCTTAGCCCGTCTGGGTTTCGGGCCTCGCCTACAGACTAGGGGAGGAACGCTGGCCGGGCCCACGCGCTCAGCTGCAGCGGGCACGCAGCGGGGGCCCTGCTCCTTCCCTCCCTCTGTGGAGTCTACCCCACGTCGCTCCTGCTGAGCCCAGATCCCCACGGAGGTGTGGCGGTGAGGCGGAGTCAGGCACCCTCAAGGCGGGTCCCACTACCAGCAAGACCCCCTACTACTAACTCGCCCGCTGCCGACTCGGTGAGGGGCGGTGGGCCTGCGGCCCGCGCCAGTGCCACGGTCAAGCCGGGCCCACTTCCCAGTCAACCACCGGGAGAAAAGCTCTTCGGAGCCGGCGCAGCCTCGGGCTGGCTCCCCGCTGTGTGCCAGGGTGGGGAGTCTGGGACCCCGGCAGCCAGGGCCCAGCCTTGCCCGCAGGCTGCGTCAGGGCCGGGGTGAGGCTAGACAGACCTCCTCCGGTCCAGCCCCCCTCCGGGAGGTGGAATGAGATCCTGCTCTGTGTGTGTATGGGGGGGGGGATTCATGGGCTGTTCTCAGGGGCTCGGGAGGCGGCAAGGGCCCGTCTGCACGCCCAGGATGACAGGTCGGGCCGCTCACGGCTAGGCCCGCTTGTCGTCCTCAGCAAGCTGCCACCCCGTGGTTCCGCTCTAGTTTCAGAAGCAATTCTGTACCCCGTAGTTCGCGAGCAAGGGGGGGCCTCAGGATCCCTAAGCTAACCCAAGGGCCCAGAGCCTTCTCTAAGCTGTGAGCAGCCCCTGGAGAGGGACAGATCTAACAGCGCAGCCTGGCCCTGGGAGCTCTGGGGAGGTCTGGAGGGCAGCCCTTTCCTGGAGCCACGCTGCCTTCCTGGGCTCACCGGCCCCTTCCTGGTGAAAACGGAGGCTCTCGTGGGCCTCCGGCCAGCACGGAGAGGTATTTGGCACCGGCGGACACAGGTGAGCAGCCCCAAACAGGCAGCGCCTCCCGGCCCGCCCTAGCCGGGAGGGCGGCTCCTCCCCATTGTTCTGGGCCTGGGTGTGGCAGCTGGCACAAGATGGGCCAAAGTGCGTTGGAAACCAGGCAAACACAAACTCAGCTCCGTTTCCACTAACGTCACTGCAGCCCTCGCTTGCAACCCAAACCAGACCAGAGGTTCCCAACACCTTTCTCCGCCCGGGCCCAAAAGGCCTGAACTGAACGTGGGAACCAGGCCGGGCTTTCTCACTCAAGTGGAAGCAGATGGGCCTGGCCCTGGGGCGCACAGGGTCTGTCTGGCCCGTGCCATGCGGAGCCCCGACTCTGGCTGCTCACCAGAGAGCCCTAAAGCATCCTGGGAAGAGACACCTCCAGGCCCCGTGTCAGTTGCTGTTCCAGCATAAGCTAACATGAAATGAGAAAGCGGGCGTGCTAACACATTTCACTACTGGAAAACAGTTCAATAAGCGCATTGTGTAATCGCTGAGAGGTGGAAGGCTGGAGCACCACAGGCCAGGGCCGCTTCCTGGTCCCCACCTCCCAGCTGTGTGATCTTAAGCAAGTCCCTGAGGCTCAGTTTCCTCATCTGTAAAATCAGCACCCCAGAACCCGTCATGAAGAGACGCTGTGAGAATTCAATTGAGTAGAAAACACTTTGCAAAAGGTTTAGGGTGGGGGTCAGGTCCCTAGAGGGCGCTCAGCAGTGGGCTTTGCTTTGTGCTGTGATAAACGTGAGCAGTGGTCCCCCTCGGTGCAGCTCTCGGCCTCCCCCCCACCCCCCGCAGGCTCCTGCCAGGGCGCCCCGGCCTGCCCGCCACGTCGCTCTTCACGGCACGCACCCCTGCCCTGCAACTGTAGGGGCTGTCTCTGGGCACAGTCCACGAGTGTCCTGCGCCTACGTGCTCCAGGGCCTGCCCCGGGCACCGGAATGGTGCGACTGTCGCGGCCGGACAGACTACCCTGCCCCCCGAGCTTGCACCCACAGGGCAGAGGCCTTATTTGATGGTGATGGGGAATCTGGCAGGAGAGAGTGGTACGGTCAAAAGCCGAAATCAGCAGGGTCTGAGGTATTTCCAGGATACCGGTATTTTAATTCACTGATGAATTAGATGTGGAAGAAAGAGAGGGGTCAAGGGCGGCCTCCAGTCCGAGCGACTCGGAGACTGGGGCTGCCACTTACTAACGTGGGAAAACGGGGGCGACCAGGTTGGCTGGAGGTCTGGGGTAAGCAGGGATTTGCTCGGTGGGCGCTAGCCAGTAACCTGCGGGGCGGACGACGAGTCAATGAGGCTGCTGGACCTGAAATGGTGAGGCAGGAGGAGGTGGGGGGGGAGCAGGGGCGTCGGGAAAGAGCGAGGAGGGAGCGAGCGGCCGAGTGAGCAGCTGGCCGAGTGAACTGCAGGCTGGGGAGGCAAAGTGTGAATGAGGCCACTGGATCTGGGGGTGGCAGGGGGCATGGGGACCTGACCTCGTGTGAGGAGGGGCAGGGCGGGAAGGCCTCAAGGGAGTGGGCTCAAGACAGACAGGAAGGAAGGAGCTTTCTGGAAACATGGAGGGTAAGCACCTCTTCGGAGGGCTTTGCCAAGAGGGGCAACAGAAGCTGGAGACTGATGTGAGCTCAAAAGAGGCTCTCTCTGAGTTGAGAGAAATAACAGCATTGACTGCAGGAAAAATGTGGTCATGTGGGGGGTGGGGGATGCCGGGGCCGAGCCCTTGAGTAGGCGAGAGCCGGGATCTGCACATGTCCTTCCCCTCCCTCTTGGCCGGCCAACTCCCACTCATCACTCGAGGGTCAGCGTCAAGGTCACTTTCTCAGGGAAGCTTTTCTGACCCCCCCAAAAGAGGCCAGGTCCCCCTATGCCCTTTCACAGCAAGTGCTACTTCTGCCCCTGCCCCTGCACTTGGGGCTGTGCGAGAGGGCGTGGCCCCGTGAGGGCAGGCGTGCTCGGCTCTGCCCCCCGCGGCCAGCGTGACGCCCGGCACGCGGAGGTGTCCGGCGAGCCTCCGATAAAGGGGTGAGTGGCCCAGGAGCCTTCCCGAGGCAAAGCCAGAGGCGCAGGTCTGTTTTGTGCCCCCGCCTGGCTTAATCAGCTGGCAGCGACAGGGACCGAGCGGTGACTAGCCGTTGCAAATATTTGGGTCTCGAAAAGCTCAGTTGTTTGTTCCTGTTTGGGCTGTGTGGCTTGGCTAACATTCAGACCAAAACCACGTGACTGGACATATCCTCTCATTGACATTGTCCACTACAAACTGACCACATTCCAGACCGGGCCTAGCAATTCATTCATTCAACAAGTATCTGCCGAAAACTCACTTAGCGCAGCACCCCGGGGACGCAGGTCGGGGTCGGACGCGGCGCCTGCCGCGGGGAGCAGAGCCCGGCAGCGGGGAGCACGCAGCGCTGCCCGGCACGGCAAGC